CGGGCCGGGCCGAGCGCTGTCACCCCGTAGCCGCGGGGGATTCCAAGGTGCGGCTGCGGGTAGGGGGGGGGCAGCAGGTGGCGGAGCCGCGGCCCGGGCGGCGGGTCTCGGCGGTGCCGTCCCTCGGGGGCGGTGTGAGGAGGGGCGGGGGGGGGGGATCTGGGGCCACGGGACTGGGCTGGAGCGGGCTGAGGGGAGGCAGGCTCAGCTCTTAGCCGGGCCGACACCGGAGGCTAGCGGGAGGCGGCGCAGAAAAGAACCTGTGTAAGATGGAGGGGGTGAGGGGAGCGGGACGGAGGGGCGATCGTTGCGAGGCTCGGTTGGAAATACGGTCTCCTCCTAAGGGGGGTGAGACGGGACGTAAATAAGTTAGTAGGTGTTTAGGAGAGCGATGATACCATTTCTTGCTAGTGCTTTAATGAAGCAACGCAACTGTCCGGGAAAAGAGCATTTTTTTGCAGGTTAGGGTGTCCCTGTTGAAGCTTACAGAAGCCATTTCCCTTTGTCACTCCAGTTTTACCCTCAAATAGTCAGAGAGCTGTGGGGTTTTATTTCCTCATCAGAAAGACTGAGGGGATTCCATCAAGCCCTGTCAGTGCTGATTTTTTAAGTGCAGAGGCTCTACTGTACTTGACAGGCTAGGGTGTCCTGCTAGGGCTTGCAAGAAATAGTTAATCCCCAACACGCAAGTGCATGCATTTATATTTATATCCCAGATAAAAAGAAGCGTGTGCTCCAGGCTGTGACAACTGCAGTTTCTCATCTGAAAAATTGACAGTGCTGTGAAGTTGTCTAATTTATATAGCAAAGTAAGTAAAGATCAGTTCCTTTTAGCAAATTCTTTTTTTCAAACGAGGATTTGGGGAGTGCACTGCTCTCAGTGTTGGAATGCAGATTATCCTGCTTTAGTTTTGTACATGACAACCTAGACAGGTACTATCCCTAGAACCGTCGCAGAAGAACCATAACAGTAAGACAGTAACATAGGAAAGGCTTTGATGAATGTCTTGTTCAGTACAAGAACGGAAGCATTGAATACAAGACATGGTCACGGTTACAGCTCTTGGCAGTGTTTCTGCCTGACCATTGCTACTGAGTCGTCTGTGTAGCATTGCCATCTCAGGAGAGGCTGCAGTGCCACTTGCTGAGAATTTTTGGTTGAGGAGCTGGCGGGCTCCACAGGTTCTTTGCCAGTCTCTTGCAGACAATGACTGATAAGGTTTTGTGAGTGCTGCAGCCCGAGTAAGTGACAAGGGTAAGATAATGGTAAAGCCACCATGCTAAAACCTAAGACTAATGTCTCTTCCTTCTCTGTGAAGAAGGGGTTTTGTGTAGTTTTTGTAATGGAAACATTTGCAAGTGTAGGAAATAAACTTTTCTGCCTTTCTTATGGCTCTTTTGTATCCTTAGCACGTCTTACTGTGGTGGCGAGCACCTGAAGAAAGTGATAATGGAACACCTGTTCAGGGGATCCTGCCATTAGTGCTTTCCTGTGAGAACTTCTAAGAATCTCAGCTCTCTGAGCTGGAAATCGGTGGCTGCTGTGCTCACTAGACTGTTCTGTCCAGATGGATATAAGTTACCAACCTGAACTTTGGTTTGATTGCCTGCATCAATACTTTTTTCAGTTCCTTGTGAGGGAATATCCAGTCTTACAAGAGTAATAAGCACTATAGCACTGTATCTTCCAGGCCAAAGCTATGCTGCTGCTGTTCTGTTCACTTAAATTCTGATAGGCCAGCAAGTTCATGCAGACTCTTTAGAGACTTAGTTTAGGTGAAGGTATCTAACAATATAATGCTTGTGTGTCAACTGCGGGTCTTGCCTTTCGTGGTAGATTTTGACTTTAAGTTGTAACTCTCTTAATATGAAAAATATGACATAATACAAAAAGGTAGTCGTGGGATAGTTGTTTTTTTTTCTCTGGTTCTAGTGCCTAATACTTTCTTCTTTCTGTAGGGGGAAGCTGGGCCGGTATCCTCCGTGGCCAGGAAAGGGGAGGTTTGGTTGTTTGATTTTCTTATTTATTGTTGCTTTCTTAGTTTTTGTTTGTGTTGGGGGTGTGTGGTTTGGTGGTTGGTTTTTTGTTGGTTTTTTTGTTTTTTTTTTTTTTTCTTTTTCCTTCTGCACAGAGAAAGCTTTGCCTGAAAGCATTTTGGTTGAAGATTAATATTGGGGGTTTTGTTTGGTTTTTTGTTTAAATACATACCCCACAAATCTAAACTGTGAACCAGTTTAGGGCTTTATTTGATCTAGAAGTTCAGTCTGTCACTAACAGCTGTTAGTTCAGATGGAATGAAAAGCAACAGAGCGCGGTTCATCCAGCTCTGGAACTGACTGTGTTTCCCAGTTTTAACTATTTAATCCCTATCACTTTCTGCAAGACAGGTTTCTTTCCTCCTGTAGTAAATGGGTTAAATGCACTGTGTTAAAGAATAGAAATAGAGTCTGGCTTCTCAAGATGTTTTTTGAGTAATAATTATGGGGGTAGGGAGTAGTTAAACTTTCTCTTCTGGTTTGGTTGGTTTTTTTCTGATGAAAGGCCAAAAAGATTAAAAAAAAGCAAAACAAAACTCTATTGCCATTTTTATTATTTCTACCTCTCTGAAAGAACTTTGCTTTTATTTCTGGTGTAGGTATGAGGACTAAGCATGTTGAGTTAACAGCATGTGGCAGGGAAAAGTGTTGTCGATGTGGCTGACAGCCATAAATGTATGGTTATTGGATCAAGTTAAGTCCAGGCTCCCCTAGAGCCTTTCACCTGTGTAACTGAAAGACAGCTTTTCTCTTTACTAATATTTTAAACTTGATAAGCAATCTATTCTGAGAGTAAAGACAAAGCTTTAAATGTAAATTTTAAAAGTTACCTAAGTGGAACAAACTTTTATTAATGCCATTTGGCTTTCTAAACTTTAAAAAAAAGATTGCTAGCTTATCTATTGGGGATAGGGAGAAGAAAACCTCACTAAGAATGTAGTGATGTATCAGTGGATTTTGGCTACTTTTTCACTCTGCTGCAGCCTACAATATCTAAGGAAAGACATGGATTAAATATTTGAAAGACTTACAACAGGTTCAAGTTCTCTTCCTAGTCAGATATAAAAAAGAAAAAAAATTAAAGCTAAAATAGCTTTAACACATGACAGTAAAATCACGGGGTATAAATTTTCATTATGTGCTTTTTAACTTTCGCTTCTAATTGCCTTCAGATTGTTAATCCACCTAAAGATCTGAAGAAACCTCGTGGAAAAAAGTGCTTCTTTGTGAAGTTTTTTGGAACAGAAGATCAGTATGTACCTGCTTGTTTTCATCTGGTGAAAATACCGTGCCATATAATATGGATCTTTCAGGGAAGAAATATTTACTAACACAGTGCAGCGTAGCTTTGCCAAGGATTGTCTTTGATCTATGTGCAAAAAAATTCAACTATTATTGCATGCTATAGCCGCTCATGTGGGTGTATAAAGACTTACATACTCAGTCACGTTAGGATTTTAGTTGCTGCTGTGAAGGAGAGTTTTTTGGTAGCTTGCCATTTTTAGGGGAGTAGGTGCAATGTGACTGGGTTAGATTTTAGCATGTAACCATGTATGAGAAAGGTACAGCTAAGAGTATGCATTTGTTTTTCTGCCAGAAGAATAAAACAGCTATATACCTGCCATTTGTAAAAGAACATACTGTCATACCTGGTAATTGAAAACATTCTTGCTGTGCTTTGGGAAGACTTTACAGTATAGGAAAGCCAAAACTGTCGTAGACTACCTTTTTGCAAGGCAGAATTTATTGATTCCAAACATGCATACAAAATCATAGTTGTCTTAGATACCTACAAACAGGAAAAAAAACCAGAAATCTGAGAACTTGGGTTTTGTGAAACTGAAAATTATTTTGCTAATTTTTCAGTTTTTCCCTTTATTTTCTGCTATTTTGCATTAAGTCATGCAGTAAGGGAGAAAGTTACGAATATTTGCGGAAGACTGGAAAACCCTTTGGTGTTTGGAAAAAAAGGTAACAGTTGAGACCGTTTAATGGGTGTTTCTTAAGGAAATTAGTTTTGACTGCCAAATTATTTTTACTCAGTATTTAAAAATCATTTTGCATTAAGAATTGAGGTCTAAACTTCATGGAGTAGAAGTGAATGCTGCATACTAATAGGAACGTTTGTTGGATCTCTAGTAATGTAAGGCAGGTGAAGTTTGATTTGAAGGGAGAGAGTGTTTTGTGGTGGTGATGTTGTGGTTGAACATGGTTATTTGAGCTAATCAAGTTCTAAAAGTTGAGGAGATTGAGCCTTTCTATCCTGATTGTTCTCGATTCTTGTATTTCATGTTATTGAATCGAATACAGAGATGTTTTATATCAAGACAAGTTTGGAAAAAGTGGTCATGTCTGGGATACTGTAGCTGAGATTAGCGCATCATTGCAAATGAAGAGTTCAGTGCTGCAAAATAACTGGGATCTATTACATGATTCTAGAGCTCTGACTAGGGAAAATCCAGTCGTCTGGCACAGTAAGGTAGTGTGGTCATTGTCATGTCTCCCCTTCCCCTCCATGTCCATCTTGTGAAATTTAATCATTTCCTGCTAGATAATCATGACTTAGAAATTTGCTCGCTTTAACTGGCATACCCTGCCTGAAAATTAAATGGAAATAAATACTGCTCCCTTTGTTCTTCTTTTAAAATAGTATTGATAGGCGGAAGAGAAGCTTGTGTGCCTGTTCTGTCCTGACTTGGACCTTTAAAAAGAGTGTGCTGGTTAGAACTGTGCTGTTCTAACCAGTGTGCCGCTTGAGAAAATCCTTCTCTTTGAGCATAATCAATGAACCACGTCAGGAAAAAAATAAATTATTTCACTTAAAATGTGAGCATGAAGAGAAAATTCCTTTACTTATTTTGTGCAAGTAAACTAATGTGTTTTGCAAATACTTTTTTCTAGGTGAGTATAAACAGTAAGTGGAAATACGTAACTGGCAAAATGTCGCTACTCTACAAAATGAACAGTATGACGACCAGGAGGATGCAAAGCTCCATCACTGACTGTAGTCTGTGGTGTGATGAGTTATACTTACTCATACTGATATTCTAGCACACGTTGCTTCTGTTTTCTAGCACTTTGCTCTTTCTGCCACTTTCAAGTTTGTAAGGTGACATTACTATACCACTGATCCATTTTTTCAGCTCTTCTATTATTGCCTTACCCTGTCAAGGTTTAACAGGCAAGGATCTGGATATAAACTATTTGCCTATTGTCCAGTGTGTGTGAGGTGAACGTGATGCTAGCTGCTGGGTAGAATCCCTCTCTCAAACTTCTGAGGGTCGTTGCTAGCCAGTTTGTCAATGGGTAGGTAATCTCAGACTTGATAGTCTTACTTTCTTCTGAGGATTCCCAGGTGACTGCTGTGGCCAGAAATGCCACAGTTTCAGGCTAGGTAAAAATTGTTTCCTCCTGACTTATGTGGCTCCAGTTTGCCATACCAAAGATTAAGGAGAAGGCTGCTTAGAAGTAAGAACTGGTGTGCATGCATCTGAGCTGAGTGGAGAGGTGAATAAAAACCTACTGATGAATTTGGAAGTGGTTTTGGTGTAGTGTATAGATAGGTTTTGGTTATTTGTGAAATCCCGAATAGCTTAGGATACAGCACAGAAGAAAATACATTTTTCTTTACCTGTGAACTGAATACTAATACTTACTGGCCCAGTGTGATGCTGCAGTGACTAGGGAAATACATTAACTGGAAGATTGTAAATAGTTTTGGCCAAAGACATAAACGTGAGAGCATGAGTGCATTCAGACTGTGCTCTAAGACCTGGCTTTTGATAAAGTTTCTACTGAGCTCCATGCTCCTTATGTTTCTTGTGTTGGTGTAGTTAGTTGCTTCTGTCACTTTCGAAGTAATAGGTTTTCTGGAAGATAAGGATTCTGTACCCATGGAAGAAGAATTTGCTTGTTTAAACTGTGAAGTACACCTATGCTTTACCACAGTGAAAGCCACCTTGATGTTCATAGTAGTAATATAATATCCACTTCCTATTCTAAGTGATTGCCTCAGTTGTGATGCACATATTCATCTAATGTCTCTTATTAACTTGCTCTCCAAATTGATACAGAGATTTTTCTAGTCTGCCTAGGAGTTCTTTTCTGAATGTCTCTTCTCAAAGTAAGTCACATTGAAAGGATTCTTCATTTAAAATCAGAAGAGATGGTGTTTCCTGCCCATAGACCTGGCAAGCATGTAACAACATCCAATTATGGGAGTATAAACAACAATTTTAATTTAGTCTTTCTAAACGGAAGTGGAGCTTTGACCCCTTGTCTGTGTTTCTAGCTGTGCTTTTCAGATAGTTTTTAAGATCCCCTTTTATTTCCCAAGCTACAGTCTTGTCCTAGGAAATCTTCGTAGATCATTCCAGTAGTCAAGTACTGCAATGTAAGAACTTACACATTGCTATATACGTGCATTTATTGCTTTTAGTAGTTAGAACTAATAGATTAGCAGGCCCATAGCCTACAAGTCTTTCTTGGTGTGCTTCATCCAGTTCAAAACATTCTTACATTTCATGGCCTGCTTGGGAATTCATTATGACATTGTCAAAAAATCATTGCTTTGAAGGTGTCATTCTACTATGTTTCATAGAAATACTAGGGAGAATCCTGCAGTCATCAGAGATGTGTGTACACACATTCACGTCCCATGCCACCCTCTTCTCCCTTTAGATATTCTGTAATAGCCAAATCATCTTGCAAGTCATGTATATCGAAGTCTTAATAGGAAGCTGGAACAGTCCATTCTTACTCATGGCACCTTTTTGAAGCGTCAGTGCAAAACTAATTAGTCTCATTAAATGCGGTGGGGTCAAGGGGCACTTCCTGACTTGATATATTGAGGAAAAATTGGAGGAAGCTTGCAGTCCAAGATAAGTATAATAATCTGCAGCCTATTTCCATCAGGCTCAGTGATTTTAGCACAGCACTCATTACCTTCCCATCCTCCATATCCTGTTGGGATGCAAACACCTACCCTCTTCTTCTGCCACTGTTCTTCCTGGTTTTCAAGGAGATGGAAATTTCTGGATGTCGTCTTTCTAAAATGTTCTTTCAGGTCCTGACATCAGAAAACACTTGCTTAAAGTTTGCCAGCTGTTGGATGTGGTGCCCTTTGGCAATCTGAGGAGCCAGAGGGTATAGGCTAAGCTGACAGAGGGGGTTAGCTTACATTGCTGGTGTTCTTCAGTTAGGCAAATTATCCCATGCAGAGCTCTATGTTGCTGTAACCAGACTGCTGTATAGCAGAGCCAGCTGGAATGTTGTTAGACATCTCTACAGGCAGAGTGCTGTAGCTGAAAACTACTATAGTCAAAACGTTTCCACCTCTTACTGTTATCTTTGGATGTGTAAGTACTCTGCAAAATTTTTTTTATTGCACAAATTTGAAAAATTTAATACTTAAAATTTCTTTCAGTATTGCCCTGCTGCTTGTTTTCTTTTGCTAAGTATCCCTTCCTTTTAGCTGCATGGATGTTTCTTCTAATTTAGTGTAGTAATTTTTGTTTGTTTTTTTTTTCCATTAAGAAGTTTACATATCAAATTCCAGAGTTCAGCCATTTCGGTTGTTTTACTGATGAAAATTGGGGCATTCCCTTTTAACAGCAGGAAACCTATCCTGATTTCTCTGTTGTGTCCTCACACACACTGGGCTTGTAAATAACTGAGCAGTTTTCTTTTGTCTTTCAAAATTGGTTGTGTTAGCATTTAGTGTGGGCATTTAAACTGCTACAGTCTAAAACTTTATGAATTTTTCCCAGACTGTAGTAGGTAATAGAACTTTGGAGATACAGCGCCACCGTTTTCCATCTCTAACTGTAAGGCTTGCAAAAAGTGAGTATTTGTGGATATTCCTCCACTTTCATTTCTCCAATTTATCATTAGGAATTGATATCTTTAGACTGGAAGAGAGTGGCTAGAACATGGGGGATTTTAAGGTTGCCTTGCCTGTGCTAAGCTCATATCATGGATTTGAATCTGGTATCTCTGGTTGCATCTCTTCTGTACCATTGTTTTCCGTGCAGCTCCAGGTCACATTTGTACTTGCCTCTGCTTTACAAGCATTCTAAGTTTTGATTATTGTTCATGAATATAGCATGGATTTTACATGAGTAGTGGTTTTATAAGAATGATGTTTTGGAGGGGATGAGGAAGGGTATGGAGAAATGAGCAGAGGAACCCATTACTAACAAGTATCTTTTTTACATCTTTTCACTTTCTATCTAGCCCATTCTTTACAGATACCAGATGACTCTGTGCAGTCATGAATACAATTTCATCTTAAATATGACATCTTCAGTAATGCCACTAATGCTTTTCTACAGCATTAATTCATTGCTGAGTCAGGAGAGAAATAGTAGTTCCTTTTATATGTTGTATTATAGAGACCTGTTATCTAAATATTGGCCTTCATTGGCTTTGTGGCTATTGCTTAACAGAGAGAGATCCTGTGTATAAACATGAATTATTTTGTTTGGTGGAAAGTTCTTTTCAAGTGTTTGAAACATAGCATGCAAATGCTTTATGGATATCTGGTGTCAAAAGACATGTTCATATCTTATAGAAAGTTGTCCAGGTAAGTGACACACAAAGAGTAAACTAGAAAGGAAAAGACCGGTTTAAAAAATTTACTTATTTATTTATTTTTAATCCTGAGGCAGCATTTAAGATTGTTTCTCACTTATTAGTTTGTCTCTGAGATCTCTGGCTCTTTGTCCTGGGGGATCACAAGTGCCAAGATGTGCCTTCGAAGCCAGGAGCCAGAAAGCTTTGTGCTTCAGACTTTCTCCGTACCAAAGGAAAAGTAATGAGAAAGGAAACTAATGAACTTGTGCAGTGAGGAGGGATAGGATGTGCAGAAACCTAAGAGAATGCCTTGATAGAAGAAAAGTTTGTGGGGGGTTTTTTATTATTTAGAAATTAAAATCTGGCAACAACATTTAACGTGCTTTATTATAATGTACTCCAACATTTTGTTTCCTTTGTATACATAATGGAAAGGCTTCTCATGAGCTGATGTTATCTAGTACCTCGGGATGCTTTGTCACTGAGTACCACACAGAAGAGCTTTACAGTATAAGAGCATTTTAAGATATGTTTCGCTATTATGTCCAGGCATCTGGGAGGGATTCTCTGAATAGCTGCTGGACAGCAGGCTCTAGTCTGAAAGTAATGATTTGACTTGTTATATTAGGTTAAGTCAGTTATTATGCAGAAGATATAAACTAAGCAAAAGGATTCAGCTTTGCATGCAAAAGAGTACAGGGTTCTGCTTCCAGGCTATGGTGGAATCATGGTGTAGGCTATACTGGCAATGTGGAAAGGATGCTAGCATTTTTTGCAGTCGGTTCTAGCAGGAGGCCTCATCTCTCCAGATGTGACCCAGAAAGTTTCAGTCTACTTTGAGCAAGTTGATTCCTGACTACAAACAATGGCTAATGCCAGTGAGGAGAAAGATCTCCATGAAGTTTTAAAAGAGTTTACTGGGCTTTACTACTTCATGAAGAGAGGACAAGCAAGATCCAGCAAAGCATCATTATTATTATTATTTTCACCTTTATGTTCAGTTTAGCTGTATGACATGATGCTTACAGTGTCTGAAAAGGCAGCTATTAAACCACTTCACCTGCTTGCAGAAGTCAGACCGCACTGGAGAATATTTAAAGCCTATAATCATGGCTAGTTAAGTTTGTAACTTAGAGATGCTTTTGGACCAGGGAAAATCAGTTTGACCAGTTTTTACTGTGTGCTGGGCTGCTGTATGTGAAGAAGCACTGTTGGCCATCCTAGCTCAGGAAAAGCTCTTCAGAAACTTTTGCAGGTCTGTTTTCAGTAGGATGGAAATAGCTTTGTAACAGTGTGGCTGATAAGCCTGGGCTTGAATTTGGGGAGAGAGGAAAGTATTCTAATCTCTGCGAGAACCACAAGGAATGTTGAAAGCAAAGGCATTCCCCTAAGCTGCAGTGAAAGAGTGGTAGAAGAGCTTGTCAACTGTAAGGAAAGTGGAGTTGTCACCCTGTACTTGACCACTTAACCATTTGGTAAATGTTAAGAAGTCCTACTTAGCAGCAGTGGAAACAGGGGAGTCATTTGAGTTTCCTCACAGGACTGCAGTCAGGTTAATACTCTGCTACTGTACCAGTTTATCTTAAAATATCAACAGTGAAGAAAATGGTTCTTTTTCCTCAAAAGTGAAAATGTTGTTTTCATGCAGAATATCAAGGTACATCAGAAATATGTTCATCAATGAGCTGGCATTTGCACTCACTTTATTTGTGGTGGGCTCTATTGTAAGAGACATAATTTTGGTTTTTCCTCCAGCTATTGCAGACACTTGTGTGTGCACAGTATGTTTGAACAAGGGATTGATGGCTTAGAATTGTTATGTGGCCTCTGCTTTCAACAACCTCTTGAGCAGATTCATATTGTTGGCTACCTTATGTGGAGGCATGTGATTGTGGGTGTTCCTTCTGGTGATACAAGAGCAGTCACTAGACTGCCTTTGTTCTAAACAAGTATCTAAGATCCCATCCAAAAGCTGTCTTGCTGATAGAGAATATGAATAACGCTTAGAGCAGAGCACTGCTAGCATGAGGGGATATAAAACTTGAGAGAGAAACCAAGTAAAAGTGTCAGAATAAAGTTCTCAGTGAATGCGGAAATCACAGCCTTTCAGGTTGTAGAAAGCAAGTTTGGGCTGCTATCATCTGTTTCTCTGGAGAAAAAAAGTATATCTGTGTGTTTCTAAAAGTGGGATGGTTGAGAAAGTTGCTGTTTGGAGAATATAATTTAATTTTTTGTTTGTTTTGTTTTTGTTTTTGTTTTGTTTTGTTTGCTTCTAGTGCTTGGATCAAAGTGGAGCAGCTGAAGCCTTATCACCCTCACAAAGAGGAGATGATAAAGATTAACAAGGGTAAGCGCTTCCAGCAAGCTGTGGATGCTGTAGAGGAGTTTCTTAGAAAAACCAAAGGCAAGGACCAGGTGAGTGGGTTCTTTTTTACTGTGTGCATCAAAGCAAGTCTTGGCATGAATGATGGTCAGATGCATTTTTATGTGAAAGGAGTTTGTTGCCTCTGGCAAGTTGAGGAGGGATTCGTTTACATTCCTTTGTTTTTTGTTTTTTTCCCCTATCCTCTCTTCTTCCCTATTCAGTCTTGTTTGGTGGGAAAAAGGTGTTGTTAAACTGATGGAGAAACTGAAGAGGCTAATTGATCTGCTTATGATGATTTGATAAATCAGTCTTAAGTCTTGGGCTAGAATTTGATGTCTACTAATCTTGTCTTTAGTGTATTGGAAGTGCACATATGTGCACACACTCCCAGCAAGTCTTCAAGTGGTCTGTTACTCGCTTACTTAAACTGATGTATTTTTGCAGGAGAACTAACCAGGAACTTCACTCACCGACTTCAAAGGGCTAACAAATAGCTAGTTTTCAAGTTACTGTGCTGTTGTTTTGCTTGGTAGTAATCAGCACAGGGTCCCTCACATCCTTGGTTTTGCATGAAAATCATTCCAGCTCTTCTCTTCTTTCCTTACCATCTTCTGTTCTGTAATCTCTCAGGCGTCTTCCCATAACTCCAACGAAGAGAAGAATCGGCGTAATTCCAGTGAAGAAAGAAGCAAGCAATCTGCTGGTGAAGAGAAACGCAAGGCCAGTTTGTCTGAAGGAAAGTTGAAGAAGGGCACAGGGGAAGGAAAAAAGAGGGTCTCTTCTGTATCGTCAGAGAGAGGATCAAAATCACCTTTGAAAAGAGCCCAGGATCAGAGCCCCCGAAAGCGGGGGCGTCCACCCAAGGATGAGAAGGTTTGTGTTGTGCATGTCCGCCAGTGCCCTGTGGACTTTGCAGATGGACTCTAGGGTTGACTGGCACCTTGACTAACAGGCCAGCAGGAAGAGTCAGTTCAGTATCAGGTTTTTTTAAGCTGTTCCATATTACTACTTCTAGACCATTTGGCTGCCTGATACCTTTGGCAAGCATATTGTTGGTTCTTCCTGTAATTTTTACCAGTTAGTTATTTTGAGTAGCTTTGTTCATATCTTTGGGAGGGCTTTGAGAGCTGTATCTTGAGACTCCACTTTTCATCTTGCCATCCCTCAAGTTCAGTTTGTGTGGGAAGGATTAGTGAAGAGGTACGGGTCTTCATCTGATTCCTGACTTCTCCCATCTCATCTACTTTGTATGATTAAGTGATCAGTAGTCACTCAACTTCACCCTCAGTACTTACAGAGGGTGGGGTATTCTTAAGGGCTAGGGTTTAAAGAAGAAACTCTTGTAGCCTGGGAAATCCACCAGAAGAATTGATTGTATTCATTTCAGCTTCTCTGCTCTAGGATATATTTCCATCCTCCATTATAAAGGTCCAACCTTGGAGCATTATTATTTTATCCCCATTACTTCCCTGTTATTTCTGGATGTTGTGGCAGCAACAATAGCCACCAATACTTTGTCTACCCTCATCTAGAGTTCCAGCCTTTTTATTTATTGTGGAACTCACTATTGTGGTCCAGATCTTCCTTTTCCAATTGGATAATTATTTCGGTGGATTATTACAATGCACATGCTCCGTCAGAGACTACACCTGGAGACCATTGGGAGACTTCAGCTGATACACCATGTGGCAGCCTGCTTGCTCACCTGTGCTTCAAATGGATCACATTATGCTGTGCTTCACAATCTTGGCTTTCAGTGCACTTCAGGACACAAGTCAAGATGGTAGTCTTTGATCTCCAAAGTTGTGAATGGATTGGCCTTCACTGGTTGAACAGCAAACTCTTTCTTGATGTAGTAAAATGAAGCTGATCACCTCAGATATTAGCTATGAAGGAAATACTGGCTTTTTTTTTAGAGCCAGCTTCTGTTAAATCAGGCTGTATGACAGAGCCCGTCAGTTTCTCCTTTTGGGGGGAGTTGGAAGAGGGGAGGAATGATGCATATTTGTGAATTCTTTACGGAACTTGTGACTTGACTGATGCAGGAAAACACTTTACCGGCAACATACTTTCACCTCTCAAAGTGTCTTGCTATGAGCGAGTTGTATCTTCACATATTTGAGTTACAATAAGCCACGGGGCCTTTTTTTCCACTTGCAAAATGTTTTTGTGTCTTTGAGCTAGATTCATTCCAAAATTGATCAAAACTAATAGCTGGGAGAGTTCTGATCGTGCTGATGTGTTGCATGCTCAGGTTCTACTGTGTTAGCTACCTCAGGGCATCAGAGCACTTTGAGTGAGTGAATTGTAGTGGTAGAAATTATTTTACTTGCAAATTGCTGGCAAAGTCGTTTTGAACAGCTTATCACAGAGGTCGCCAGCTATGTGATAAATGTCTGGCTGCAGACCATGAAAATAAGCAGGCTGATGTAGGAAAGTAGCCTTATAGCTTCTGGAAAGTAATGTACTGACAATTAAAGAAATTGCCATGAAAATATAACAGTACTGCCTTAACACTATTTTTCAGCATGGGAAAGAATTTTAAAATCTTGTTGTCTTCTTGCCTGGTTCTCATAATTTCCCCAAATTCTTAGCCTTAGGGTAGAAAACATTTGTTGCTGTCCTGAATTACTGCAGTGTTGGGATTTTGCCCCGTCGCAGTCCAAATTCTGGCTTTCCAAGTAATAAGGATGCACAAAATTCAAGAATCCAGTTGTTGTCAAGGTGTGCTCTATCTAGAAATGGTCTGTAGGCATACATGATCATTCAAATACTCTTGTTTTTAAGCTTATATGAATATTTTCAAAGGACCAACGTGACTTGATAGGTATCAGAGCAGGTTTCATCCACGCTTTAGGAGTTGAAACAGCAGTGTGGTCTCTAAGGAGAGAATTTTAGTGTGCAAGGCTCTCCCTAGACGCTTTAGGGTTGGAGACTGATGTCTAAATTGTCCCTGCTGACAGACGAAACAGTTGCATCAATCTGAGTTACCTTCAGGAATCTTGCTCGTACCTTTTTTGCAAACAGTGGTCTTCTATTGTGGTTCTGCGTGGACACTAAGGTATATTGTGCATTTTCAGGAAGTAATTTTGGAGGGGAGATAATGTGATTCCATTTCTGAACCTTCATTTCAGGAAGATAATACATACTATGCAGAAGTCCTGCACATTTTCTTCATATATCATATGTCTATGACCTATAGCATAAAGACCTATTTTAACCTATGTATCTTGGGGAAATAAGAAAGATAAACTTTAATCTGCTCAACAGTAAAAAAACCCGATGTGTTAAGTGTTATTGTGACATGACAAATCAGGGCCTGTTGAGTGAATGTGGCAGTCCACGTACCGGTTTCTGTTTCATGGATTCAGCAAACTTGAGTAGATATGACTATCAGCCTCACACTTTGAAGGTTCTCCTGTTAACAGGTGGGCTACTTTTTTATGACGGGAGGATTAGAAGAGTTCAGACCTCTGACTGTGGTCATGTCCTTCACCCATTTGTTTAGCTTTTTGCATCCACCAGAGGAAAATGCTGGATCAAGTGTGTTCGTTTGCTTCTCTGCTTATTGCATGATTACGCAAGTGCAGTGATTCCTCTTACATATGAAGAATGGATTCTCCAGAAGCCATAACTGTGTGGTTGAATTCCTTTGTTGGCAGTTCATGTTTTCTTCACCTCACCTGTGTTGATAATACGCTCTGTGTTAAAATATGAACACTTCATGGAAAGGCATGTGAGATGGAAGGCATTTGTAGCGCTTTTCAGAACTCTGTATGTGTGCTCATATGATCAACGTGCTGTGGCCAGCCACTGAGCCAGGTTGTAAGCTCTTTCTGATCCACCTTCTGTCTCCTCAGGACCTCACAATTCCAGAGTCAAGTACAGTGAAGAGAGTGATGACTGGAACAGTGGCTGGATTTAAATGGCCACCAAGCGTCAGTGAGGTGAGAAACTTTACAACATAATGTGATCTAGGAACTGAGTTTGTGGAAGCAAATCTAGAATCTTTTGTCTGGGCTGTAAAATAGTGAGATTTTTCTCTGCCTCCTGTTGGAACAAAGTAAGACACTCTCATTCTGTCATTCTGTAGTGTAACAAAGCTGGACAAGATCCTGGGCAATTAAGAAGTATGCTGGGAAGTGAGATTTCAGTCTTTGTGGAACTATTTGCAGATTCACACTTGCTCTACTCATTTTTGCACTTCTTGTTTTAAAAGTATTGCTGAGACTGGCTTCCCAGAACTGGAGGAGGTGATGTGGATAGTCTCTCCCTGTCTGGACACTATTGTATGGGGTGGTTTAATTTGATTTCCCTCCTAAGAAGCTTTTGGAAACCTTTCATTTTTGTGCATAAATAAATAAGTGGTCAGTAAAGCAGAATAAGAGCAGTGTGACCTTAGGCTAGTGCGTATGATGCTCATCGGGGAGGTGAGATACCTGGGCCTACAGTCCTTGTTGCTGTTAATATGGGTTTGCCTAGCATGTGACAATGCTAGGTGTAATCTCCAGCCTATTCCCAGAATGCTGTTTTAAGAAGTTCCTTGGAAGCTGGAAAATAAGTGTTTTCATTCCCTTGAGAAGAAGCAGCAGGATATGAGATCTCTCCCTCCCATGTTAATCTTGCTCATAACCTTCGTTGGTTTTCCTACATATGTCCAAAAATGAGGAATTAGGAATTAGACTTGAATGGCTTTGGGTTTGAGAATGAAACAAATGTAAACAGCTTAAATGAAACAGGCTGCTTGATAAAGCTGATACATTTTATATTTTCCAGCTTAAGCTATTGTTCTCGTGCAGCTTGGGAGAAAAAGGGAATTGTGCTGTGGTTGCTCAGTGACTCTCTGGGAATGTTTCTGAGCCTGTACTTTCTTTCTTTGTAGCCTGTGAAGGACAGTGATCCACACTTTCATCACTTCCTGCTGAGCCAGACAGAGAAGGTGAGGATTTGGCAGGCAGGATCATTCTGCTGGTCTGTCTGGCTTGGCATCCTGCCCTTTGCTGGGTCTAAGTACAAGGAGTATGCGTAAAGAGCTCTGAAATTCTCTTCTTCGGGGTCTAGCAGCAATTAGATTCTCACGTACAATCTTGCAGTTCAGTTACTTCCTAACCTTAAGGTTTAGAGTGATTTAGCATTGAGTACAGTGAATAGTTTAAGTAATTAAAGATTATCTAGCACCAGGATTTGACAGATCAGTTGTAGTAAATTCTTTAGATTGAACATTGAGGGGTAGGAAAAGCTGTTTTTCTGTTTAAAAACCCTGTTTGAAAGTCTTTGGTTGTCCTACCAGTTGCTTCATCTGGATGAGCTTGTCTATTAACTGAATATGGCAGGAGAATTTCCAGGGCCAGAAAATCTCCATGTGAAATATAGCCAGTTTATCTCCTGGCAGTCAGAAGCCTTGCAGGATTTTATCTTCAGCAGTGAACATCAGGACAAAAAGGAGAGATCAAATTAAATGAAAAAGGATTTATATCCAGCTGAGGATCTGGGCAGAGCCAGAAGGATTAAGAGCAGCTAACAGCTTTAATCTACACAAGCTCACAATAAGCAGCATGGGAAGGACCAGCCTTCACCTTAACGTTAGTTGAAAGCCACATACCTTCTCATATTAACAAGAAGGTTTTTCTTGCACAGCTGCATTGACATACTGAGCATAGATATGAGGCAAGGCACTTCATGGCAGGCTTTAGACATCTCTGTTTCCTTTGGGCCAAATGCGAGAGTAGGGATGCCCTGGATCCTTGCCTCTAGAGGAGCCTGTCATATGAACTACAGGAAGGAGTTTGCAGTACCTGTATCGGAAGACAGGCTGAATTGCTGGGGCAGGGTGGGAAAGGAAGAGCTTAGTATGTCACAATAGGTTTTTGTTTTTATTTTCTCCCATTGAGGGAAGCCTGGGAGTTTTTCTGCTTTGCAGATGGTGGTGGGTGGGTGAGCTGCCTGTTTCTATCTAACAAGGATATGGTATGTTTGCTCAGCAGAGCAAATCAGCACTGTCCTTCCCCTGAATGCTTTGTCTTCTCCATACAGCCAGCTGTCTGCTATCAAGCCATCACAAAGAAGCTGAAGGTTTGTGAAGAGGTAAGGCAAATATTGGTTTTGATGGATTTTCCTTATTGTCCTGAGGACTTGCAGTTCCTCCAGAGCTGTGCATTCTATTTTTTTTTTTTTTTTTTTTCCCCCCCCCCCACCCCCTTCCCCCCCCCCCAGGAAACAGGATCCACCTCCATCCAGGCAGCAGACAGCACAGCAGTCAATGGCAGTATCACACCTACAGACAAAAAGTAAGATCTCCAACGCGCTTCAACCATTTCCCTTACTTTTTCTCCTTCCCAGCTCATACATGCAGCCATTATCCAGCTTGTCACTGAGAATAAATAAACCTAACGTTTCCCTCTAACTACAGATCTCCTCTGTCCTTGTGTGAAACTCTGATTTGGGGGGAAAAGGGGGAGGGAGGCAGCTGAAAAACGAAGAGGGGCTGTACAGTAGAAGAATTCAGAATAGGATTTGGCCTGGATACATTTGCAATTCAGGGCTTTTCTGCAGTTGCCCTTTTCCTGTAGGGCATACTGCAGAACATTAAGCAGCAGTACTTCTGAATGCTGTATGAGGCAGAAAGATAAAAGGGTATCTTTCTCCAGTAGTGCCTGGCAGTTGACTGGGTTTATTTAATCGCTCTTCTGAGCATGTAGAAGACAAGAGGAAGAGGGAGGCGTGCTCTCTCAGCACAAGAGCTTTGCTGTGTAGCACGTGAGCTTTCTGGTTTCTTCTAACGTCCCCCTTCTCCTTTCTAGAGTGAGAGAAGCCTAATTTGAGCTTCCTGTTTCACTCTGTAACTTCCGCTCTGTTCAAATTGAGTTCAGGCCACAACTTGCTGTTTGCCGTTGGGGTCGTTCTCATGGGATGTCAGTTCTCAACTGTACTCCAGGGGAACCAAAATAACAATGAAGCTGTTCAGGTAAAACAGTCTCTCAGGAAAGTGTGGCTCAGAGGTGGGTTGGGAGAGAAAGAATATCTCCTCTGTTTTAGAGGCTTGAAAATAGGTGGACCTTGTTTGGGCTGTTTAAGGAGCGTATAGTGACTTGCTCTGACCTGTCTAAATTAGTTTGCTCTAACAAAAGGCAGCATGGCTAGCTGGGAGAGTGCAGCTGGCTTGCGAAAGCCACAGCGCATCTGTAGTGTGGCTAATTCTGAAGAATTAGCTGGGGAATTGCCAGGCAGATTTCATCTCGAAGTTACATCAGACCTGTAACTGAACACTTCAGAATTTCCTGCTAGAATTGTGGTTTTGGTATGAAGCTAGCTGCATGATGTATGGAAGGATCTTTGCAGCAATGACTGCAAAGGAATTTCTGTTGTGCAGGTAACTGTAGGGATGGAAATTGTTTTAGCGCATTGTTGTCTTCTTGAAGGGGGGGAACAAAACTCTTGCCAGCTTTGTGGGGGGAGGCATGGGGGAAAGCAGCTGGTATCTGGGACTATTGTATTGTTGCTCATAGTGACCTGTACTGACCTATTACTTCCTTTCTAGGTCTGTCCAAAATCGCAGCTGTAGAGCAGGGACTAGGTCTATGGTCTGTGCATGATGCCCAGTAGTCTTTGCTGGGCTTCATTAAAATAAAGGTTGTAATGTATCATTCAAAGTATAAGCAAGTCATTGTACGTGTTACTTAGTTTAAAAATCAGAAGATTAATTAGAGAAGCACTTGCTGATCTCTAAATGTTCCTTTCATCTTCAGTAAGGCAATGGCTGGCAACAGAAAGCACAAGAGCAGCAATTTTAATAAAACAAACCAAACAAAAAAACCTACAAACTAACACACACCCGCCCCACCCCCCCCAAACAAACAAACAAACAAAAAACCCCAGACCACCAAAACCTTTAAGTAGTCTTCTGAAGCAGACTAAAGACTTTCTTCAGGAAATTGTTAGGGTTGCTTTGTAAGCAAAATAAATACCAGTTTGCTTTTAAAGCTCAGTATCTGCCCATTCTAGCTGTGGCCACAGTGGAACAGGTTTGGTTTTGTTGTGGTTTTGGGAGTTTTTTGCTGGTGATGCTCCAGGGTTTGCTCTTCATCATTCCCAAGACCATGAGAGGCTGACACCAATTGCTTTCTGTTGCATTAATGTTTATCTCTTCCCCTCAGGATAGGATTTCTGGGACTTGGCCTGATGGGAAGTGGCATTGTCTCCAACTTACTGAAGATGGGTCACACTGTCACTGTCTGGAACCGGACTGCTGAGAAGGTAGGCATGTGCTTAAGATACAGGTGATACTGAACCTTTTCTAAACATGTAGTTACCACCTCTAGCTCGGGGAGGCCTGGAGTCACCAATCAGTGGTGCCTAGGAGAGGATGCCAAAGAAACACAAGTATATGCTTGCCACCTTTTTCTATTATTATTTCCTAGGTGCTTGTTGGTGGCCACTTTTGACTAGATGAAGCTGTAGTCTGTCCTAGTATGGTCACTCTTATGTGAACAGTCCCCATCCCATTCCCATTTTGTATGAGATGGGAGGGTTGCCAGAAAAATTGCAACCTTGTATATGTGTTGAGGGATGCAGTGTAAAGTGCCTCTGGAAATACTGCTGATGTAAATAGCCAAGTCATTGTGTCATGGAGCTGGACAAAAAGACCAAGTGCTGGGGAATTGGTTCTAGGAGTGGTGTGGTAAGATGCACTGCTTGACCACAGCTTCATCTACACATCCATTGTGCTGTTCGTGTTGCGGTAACAAAGGTTCTGTTGAAAACCTGCTGTGTCATAAGACCAGGATGAGAAGGGTTTAGAGGTGTATTCGAAGTGAAAATGAAGCTTATATTACACTTATATTCTAGCCAGCGTTATGCTTTGTAGTGGAGGAGGAAAAGTAGGTAACTGGGGGAGATATGGTACTGCAATGATATTGTGGAATATCAAAGGCAAGAAGGGCACTGTGGTTACTTTGTTCAAAGGGATTAAAAGATTTTTATTTTTTTTTTGACTGCAAAACATGGATGGTGTGAGGGGATAGGGTAAGAAGGAGCTAAGATTTTGAAGCAGCAGCACACTAAAACACATTAGTCTCAGCTGTGCATATTCCTGTTTACTGTGCAGTAACACCTTTTGCTCTGTCTGTCTACCAGTTATTTTTCCCCTCATCTCTCCTCCAAAACCCACAACATTCAATCTCTTATCATTTCACCTAAGTGTTCTCTTTTCCTGTGTCTTTCTTTTGAAGTTCTTCACTTGAAGTTTCAGAAAAGCTGCAAAAGAGCCCCTTGTGGGCAGGGGGGTGGGGACAGACGACAAACCAACAGAAGACAACCCAGTCGCCATGTAATTAATATGCCTGACTCCTTTTGAGTTGGGTCCAGCAGCAGAGCTTGTTTCAGCAAAATGCCAGAGAACCCATTTGCTCTGTACTTAATTTTTCTTATGTTTGGATTTGTGACTTTTGCAGTGTGATTTGTTCATCCAGGAGGGGGCACGGCTGGGAAGAACCCCCGCTGAAGTTGTCTCCACCTGTGACATCACCTTTGCCTGTGTATCGGATCCAAAAGCAGCAAAGGATGTAAGGATTAGCTCTTATTTTTCCTCCACCAGCTAGATTACAAGATACAGTCACTGAATGCCATTCCTGATTCCTACTAACCATGGTAGCCTGGGTCACTGTAGATGCTGGGCAGTGCAGCTATGTAAAAATAAATATCCCAACAAAAAAATCATCCCTGGGGGTACGTTTTGATATCCCTCTAGGAGTCTATCAGTGCAGTGCCAGGCTCGCTTGAATTGCTGTCCTGCAGGATTGGAGTTTCTCTGCAGACACCCTATTGCTTTACCGCTCTTCTGTTCCCCACAGCTGGTACTTGGTCCGAGTGGAGTGTTGCAGGGGATTCGTCCAGGGAAGTGTTATGTTGATATGTCCACTGTGGATGCAGATACAGTCACAGAGTTGGCCCAGGTAATCACATTGAACTGAACTGCTAACATCTGTGATTCAGCAGCAGTACTGCAGTTCTTGTTGCTTCAGGTGGTAAGCTGTTGATAATAAAGATGCTTCTGATGATTTTGGGGCTTCTTTTAGGAGACGCTCAAGTCCCAGGCAAATAAGACAAAATAAACTGTCAAATCTTGACCAGCAAACAAAGTTGGATGAGATGTTCCCTGGTGATAACAGCAAAGCCTGTAGATTTGGCAGGACTGTTAGCTGGCACCAATGCAAACAGCCAGCCAGATTTTGATCCCTTAAGAAGTATTTATAGCCAGATTGGTATTCTGTAGCAAACTGGAGGAGAAAGCATTGTCTGGATTAATAACTGTCCTTAAATGATAAAATGCATAATCTGCTTATTTTAAATGTTCTGCTTGGGGAAAAAAAATGCCTTCATGTTTCATTCTCTAGAAATATTATTATAGAGAGGATTTCTGTAGAAGTGTTCTGATTATTTCTGATGTGGCATCTTTGATTTCCTCTTTGGCTTCTGGATTGTTATCCTCTGCCTTAAAGGTAGTGTGTGGTGTTGCACGAGGAAGGGGAGTTAATTTTGGTGAAGTTTTAAGCAGACATATTCATGACACAGTAGTGTGTAACATGAATTTGGAGAATGAAGGGTCATACATATTAATAAACCTCTGGCTGAAGAGATCTGTCAAAGGCCTTTCCTCTTTGGGGAAAAGGGGGAAAATATCGTAACAGTCAATCTTCTGAGATTCCTACACCACATGTGCAATTTCAGCACTGGTTCCTTTGGCCGTTACAGGGTGCCATGGCAAAAGCACGTAAGTTCAGCTGCTTAAAACATGCACAGTAGTGACGGGTGCAAGAAAGTGCTGCTGGAGTGTGAGGGCAACTTTTGGCCTCAAGTACCCTTTGCAGCGCATCACTTTCCTCTTCTATTTATAAGTCTGAGCTATTTGTTCTGCTTTAAAATTCTGTTCTCAGGGACAGGAATGCCCTAAACAATGTTCTTGTTGTGCTGCCTACTCAGCATCAATGTGTGCTGTTCATGCACAGCTAACCAGAGATGCTTTTTTTTTCTAGGTGATAGTGTCCCGGGGTGGTCGCTTTTTGGAAGCACCGGTCTCAGGAAATCAGCAGCTATCTAACGATGGGATGCTAGTGATCCTGGCAGCTGGTGACAGGGGTTTATATGAGGACTGCAGTAGCTGTTTCCAAGCGATGGGGAAGACCTCTTTTTTTCTAGGTAATTGAAATGCGAAGGGCCTGATAGCAGTTTCTTACTCAGTGCAAGGACTGGGAAATCCAGCAAAGAGTCTTAGAGGCGTATGTGTCATCTGTTTCTTGTCTCCTTGGGCAGTATGGGAAACTGCCCTGCTCTTTGGGAACTTGACCAATTTCAGAGCGTCTAGCCTAAGTTTTCTTTTTTGAATACTGGCTCATTTTGGAGGACCCATGATGCTTTTATTTTCAATCATACTTTGTTATGATTTCTCCCTTCCTTTGAGTGCTTGGAAAATGGGTAAGGTTTCTTAAGTCTTTCAGGGGAGGGGAGAGCTGCCAAGTACTTGGACGTGGATAGTCTGGTAGTGTTAATACTGTGTGGGATGGGGGAGCAAGGCTGCTGTATCTCTTCTGGAGGAATGCCCAATGGTATGTCTCGCTCCCAGGTGAAGTAGGCAATGCTGCCAAGATGATGCTGATTGTGAACATGGTCCAAGGCAGCTTCATGGCAACGATAGCAGAAGGACTGACTTTGGCTCAAGTGACTGGCCAGTCCCAACAGACCCTTCTGGATATCCTCAATCAGGGACAACTTGCCAGCATCTTCCTGGACCAGAAGTGCCAAAGTAAAGTTCTCTTACGTTGTTTTATTATAGGACATTTGCCACAACCTAGCAGCATTTCAGATAATGGCAGAAGGGAGAAAATAACCATCCCATCTTCATCAGCCTGGGATTCTGGGTATTTTAAGCATTCTGGAAATGAAGAGCTGAGTTCCATTCCTTCCCCTTCATAGCCAGGGCTCCTGAGAATCCACCCCAAGCTCTGCATTGTCTACAGCCTGCTTAGAACTTGAGTTCACAGTGAGGATTTCATTGGGGCAGGGTAATAAGTGAAATGGAGGGCAAGCTGCTTAGAAATCTGAGCTCACTTTGTCAGTGGGCAATAATGACGTTATCTGCTGTGGTCAGATGGAGAGCAGAGAAACAGAAGAGCTAAAAGCAGTGTTCCTGCTGATCAGCATGGGAAAGGGAAGTTTGGTGTTGAATTACATGCCCTTGCAGTGTGGGCTTGATTTACTTTTGTTGTGCTTATTTTTTGCACCCATTCCTCTCAACAGATATTTTGCAAGGAAACTTTAAACCTGATTTCTACCTGAAATACATACAGAAGGATCTTAGATTAGCTATTGCACTGGGCGATTCTGTCAACCACCCAACTCCCATGGCAGCTGCTGCCAACGAGGTAAGAGCTGTTCAGTGTTCAGATATGTGTTATTCAGCATTTCTTCAATAGAGCCCTTTGTCAACAAGAGACAAAAATCTAGGAATTATGTCATCTCTAAGACAAGGGAGCAGCGATTGAAATATATTTTGACTAGGATGGAATTGGATTTGTTTTGATTGTAGAAGCCCTTAAAATATCACATCAATAAACATAGATGGCCTCAACAAGACCTGGTGTGTTCTGATATGTGCTGCTCTAATTACTTGACATACTATGCAGTTCTCTGGTTTGCAATGGTCAGCAAAGCAATTTTTCTGCCGAGGAAAGGCTTCACACGAGCAGGCACTGATCCTTTTCTAATTTCTCTTCTCTAGGTCTATAAACGAGCAAAAGCATTGGACCAATCAGACAACGACATGTCTGCAGTGTACAGGGCCTACATCCACTAGGCTGCACCGTTCTTACTGTTAATACTATGATTATTGATTAATATTATTATGATACTGGGTTTTAACTCTGGACCAGTCCATCTCTGTCTCTCCATTTCCTTTTATACACAGACTTTGAGATCTGCCACGGAGGCAGCTGCTGCGGTGAGCCTTCCCCTGGTGGCAGAAAGGGGGGAGGAGGGGGCTCGGATTGTTGCAGTCTAATTAGAAAAATCCATGCCATGCACTGACAGTCATGGAACAGAACAGTGGCGGCTTGTTCAGAAGCTCTGAGGCAACTCTGCCAGAAATCTGCTGCTTGGCTGCTTTTATTTTCCAATTTGTATGCTTGTCCAAGATGCTGTTTCTAACGATCCCTTTTCTCCTTTGCTGTGAAATAATGCGTGTGTTGGACTCTCTGCATCAAGGGGACAGGTGACACACATCCCATCTACCTGTGAATATTGCTAAAGTCCTTGGTCCCAAGTAAGGTGAGGAGCATTTCCTGTTAATCGGCCACTGTTAGAGAACAAAGCACCTCCCATGGAGGAGAATGGCAGTTCCAGAAGGTAATGGGGTTGCATGCAACACTGTCTTGATTCTGCTTCTTTTTAAACTTCCACCTCCCCAGCACCTTGATGGAGGAATTCCTTGTACTGTTAAGAAAAACAGATTGCATCCATGTCTTCCCCTGTACAGACAACTGTAGCTTAGGGAACACAAACCTTACTGAAAATTAGAGAATGCCAGTGTAAACGAGCCTCCTAAAAGGCTAATCACAGCTGCCCATCTCACAAACAGCATTGGAGATCAGCACCTTTGCATAGAAAACTGCAAGAGGAACATACAGCCTAAAACTGGGCCAGAGATATTTTATTTGGGGAAGGAACAAACCTTAGGGTTGCTCCTGGCCTTAGCTTATGTTGCTTTAATACTTGCTTTTTTTTTTTTTTCTTTTTTTAACCCTTGTAGTCAATAATTACAAAGGTGTCTTGAATTGTAGCAGTGTCACAAGCAGAGTGATGAGTCTGAAAGAGGCGAGAAGAATGATCGTAGAGCCAAGAGACTGAGAATCCTGAGCTCCTTTCCATGCTCTCTCTCTGGCCTTTGTATGGTCATTGTATCTCTTAGCCTGTTTGCCCATCTTTAAAGGTGGGTGATGATTACCTACCTCACAGGGATATTTTTGTGTACTGATTAGTGATCTTTATACATGTCAGACTTTCCATACATGTTCTTAGTCTTACTACTCTGGGTACACTAGCACAGCATGAGACTTTTCCCTGTACCTGTGACTCTGCTTGTAGCCAGATACCAACTTCTAGAAAGACTAGTAAACAAATGGGAGGCTAAGACCACTGCTGAGCTTTAGTCTAGGAATGTGGGACTTGAACTGCAGATGCCAAGGCTAGAGAGCAGAGATGCTCTCATTGTTGATAGCAGAGCAACCCAGAGTCCAAAGGATGCATGTCTCTCTAAAAATGCACAGAGCATGTTTTTGGGTGTGGTTTGTTGTGTTTTTTTGGTTTTTTTTAATTGTTCTCAGTATTAGCCTTTTAGGAGGGTTCTTGCATTTTGGATTTGAGAGTTAGTAAAATGCCAGTAAGAAACTTTATTGGCCAAAATCGCTTTTCAGTGGCACAATCTCCTCCCTTGGTTTGGGATTCTGAAAGGAAAGAAAGCAAATTCAAATTAGACCATGTTCCTTTAAATCCATGAGGTCTGCCCCTCCCGCCATCTTATTTTTCTAGGAACTTAATGGCTGTGTTAGGAAATCTTCCTGTGGGTTAGGATTTCTGACCAATCCTGCTGTGTGCAGCATGTGCATATGGTTCAGGGGCACCTTATTAAGAAACAGAGAAAGTATCAGATACTCATTACGAATCATGACATCTAACGCCTAATGCTGTAAATGTTACTTTGTTGAATATTTCACCTCCTGTGATCACTATTATTTGTGGGCTAATATTGTGTTAACGCATTATGTCCTGTGGTGAACATCTAGTAATAGATCCGTTAGATATCACTTTGCCCGTTTGTCAGTGGTATATGTGAACAATACTAGTTACACATACATGTTTCTTTGGCAGTGCAACTGTCATCCTGCATGTAGATATTCATATTAAAGGCACATATAACTACCCAGGATAACCAGCCATTAGCCTGCTTTTGACACACTTGTGCTTCCCCCATCCAGAAGAACTCCGCTATTAGCATCAGAAGTCCTTGGTTAAACATGCCGCAGTTAAGAAATCATTTACATGAATGGTGTATTGAGGGCATCTGGGCGAAATTGTGTTTTGGGGGCAGGAGATAAGACCACAGGTTTTATAGTGTAAGAAAGCTTTTGGGAGGAAGAGGGAGGTGCTGTCTCGGGTCCAGTTGAGAGTGGAACTGTGCTGAGCCAGTGCAGCAGCATCCCCAACCTGTTCCTGCTGAGATCTCTTGGGCCGGGGTAAAGGTGAATGGGTCTGAGCAAAGGTAATGGAGGATCTCCCTCTTTTTCTACTTTGTGGTGCCTCTGGATAGAGTGAGAATATGAAAGGAGCTCTCAAGTCCTGTGATACGTGTTTTGTAGTGAATTCAAAGAACCATGTTTGTGAGAGAGGAGAACCACTCCCATGGCAACTCCCTGCTGCAGGTTTTGTTTTCCAGAAATACTGTAGTGCTGGAAATGGCGATTGTTATTTATGTGGGAGTGGCAGGTGCAGACTAGTTAAACACTGTAATTTATCCTGGGAAAGTCTGACTGCAGCTTTCTGGTGAGGTAGGTGGATGTAGAGTGGCTGGAAGGTGCGGTGCTGACCAGCCAGTTGTACAATCACAGATATGCCAGGGAGGAGCAGGAGACCGAGAGCTCTGAAGTGTGGGTGTGAAGTGAGGAGGAGGGATGGAAATGGTGTAAACCGGACTGTTTCAGATGCCATTTCAGATTGACTTGTGTCAGTCTCACTCAGATTCTTGTATTTATGTCTGTAGCCTCTGAACATGGATCTTAATCTGTTCCTAGGCCTGAGATTTGGGGGAGGGAAGGGGGGGAAGCTGTGGATTGAGAGATGCTCTAATAAAACTGGCTAGTCAATGTTGTCTTAATATTGTTGACAATTCTGTAAAGTTCCTTTTTATGAGGATTTCTGTTTTAGAAATTTGCTTTTTTGACTCCCTCCTTTTTAAAGAGAAAATGTGACACTTGTGAAAAAGCTTGTAAGAAAAGCAGTTTCTTTCTTCCTCAATGATAGATCCTATAGTTAATTAAGGTTGTGAATTTTTATTTTTTTGCCTTGTTTTTAATTAACGTTTGTCTTTCAGAATAGGATGTGTGAAAATGTTTAAATGGCAAAACAAAAAGATTTTTTTTGTGCAATTAACAAAGCTACTGGCAAAAAGAATAAAACCCTTCTTGGTAACATGATGTTCTTGTGGCATTTTCTAAAGCCTATCAAACCTGTATTGTGGCATTAAAGAAATATGTACGTTTCTCAAAACATTAAAAAATCAGAGTTGCTGAAAAACAGCAGTATGCGTGAGAGCATTTTGGTCATTGCAGAAGCCTGATCTTGTCAGTGTGGCACTACAATGGATGAACCTGGGTAAATTCCAGCCTCTGCACGCAGAGGGCTGTGTGCATCCGGACTGAGAGGAGGAGGAAGGCTTAATTTTAAAGCAAAGAATGCTGAGAGATGGAGGTGCAGGAACTTTCTGGTGTCAGTGACTTCTTGTGTTGTCTAAGTGTTGGAGCCTGGTGGCCCAAGTGCTCTGTCTGGAGTATCCCTTCTAGCGTCTGGTGTTTTTTGAGCACTAACTCAACAGTGAGTGGGGTTTTCCAAGATGAGATCCCTTAACTGAAGTGTCTGCAAGCTCTAGAATATTGCTTTTTGATGATCTAGGCAGTGTTTGCTGTCGAATAGCAGTAGATGTTTATGTACTGATTAATGGTGGGCTTTAGTTAAGATGAATCACAGGTGCCAAATTAAGGAAAAACTCAGTTTTAGCACTGACTAAAAGCAATGCAGAAAGTGATGGAGCAAGGCCACCCAGTCAGAGTTGTGCTCACAGCAAAAACTGCCAGTATCGGAAGCTTTACCTGCTCTGTGCATGAATAATGCACCCTGCTGACACGGTGAAGAAGATGATGCTGTTTGCTCCCACCCGCAGTACATCCAGTGTGAAAAGGAACCCACTGCCTTCACTGCAAAGACTTCAATACCAGGATGCGTTGATTTCGATTTCAAAATTTTGAGAAGAAACTGATGAGGCTTCCACCTCTTTACCCATTCTTGAGCATTCTTACCTGTTGCTCGGTTTTATCTGAACCGGCATGCGGTCAGCTACGGCTGTGAATCAAAACGGCAGATCAAAGGAAATCGATACTGCGGTACTACCGTCACCGCCAGCAGCGGCTGTGCGACGCGGGGGTGTTTGAACGAGGCCCGGGCAGTGCTCGA